CGGTTTTTGTTACCGATGATGTCGATGTCACCGGCATAAGCCAGCAATTGCACGCTCTTGTAGTAAATTGTTCCTGAGCGGTTCAGTTCTGCAGCTCTTATTATCTTCTCCAACATCAGATAAAAGAAGTCACATGACAGGGAGTCGCCCTGTCTGAAACCTTGTTTTGTGGCGAACGGCTCGGGGAGGTCTTTTCCAATTCTGACGGAGCTGGTGGTATTGCTCAACGTCATTTTACACAGCCGTATGAGTTTTGAGGGGATGCAAAATTCAGACATAGCGGCGTATAGGCAACTCCTTTTAGTGCTGTCAAAAGCGGCTTTAAAGTCGACAAATAGGTGGTGAGTGTCGATCCTTTTCTCGCGGGTCTTTTCCAAGATTTGGCGTATTGTGAATACCTGGTCTATGGTGGATTTACCAGGTCTAAAGCCGCACTGATAAGGCCCAATCAGTTCATTGACGGTGGGCTTCAGTCTTTCACACAATACGCTCGATAAGACCTTGTAACCTATGCTTAGAAGGCTGATCCCGCGGTAGTTGGCGCGAATGGCGGGGTCACCTTCCTCGTGGACTGGGCAGAGCACACTTAAATTCCAGTCGTCAGGCATGCGTTCATCTGACCATATTCTGCACAAGAGTTGATGCATGCACCTTATCAACTCCTCGCCGCCGCACTTGAATAGCTCAGCTGGCAGGCTGTCAACTCCAGCGGCTTTGTTGTTTTTCAGCCGCGTTATTGCTATACGTACCTCGTCATAGTCAGGCGGTGGAACGTCGACTCCGTCATCATCGACTGCGGGCTCGGGTTCTTCTTCTCCACAACTTTCCGTGCTGCTACCATTTAGTAGGGCGGGAAAGTGTTCCCTCCATAATTTAAGTACGCTCTGGACATCAGTTACTAGGCCGCCATTATTGTTCTTACAGGAGTGCGCCCCGGTCTTTAGACCTTCCGTAAGTCGCCTAATTTTCGGGCATTCCTCCTGTCGGCCAGCATTTCAAGCTCTTCGCACTCACGTATTTCGGCCTCTCTCTTCTTGTTGCGGCAAATACGTCTCGCTTCCCTCTTCAGATCCCTATAGCGGTCCCACATAGCGCGCGTTGCGCCCGATTGCAGCGTGGCCCTGTAGGCGGCATATTTTTTCTCTGCAACTTCCTGACACTCCTCATCGTACCAGTTGTTCTTTCGGGCTCGCTGAAATCCGACTACTTCTTCGGCGGCGGTACTTAATGAGCGGGAAATGTGGTTCCACTGCTCGCATATGTCGCTTTGTTGAAGTGTGCTCTCTAAGAGCAGGTGTGAGAGTCGAGTAGCGAAAGTGCTGGCTGTCTGTTGTGATTGCAGCTTTTCGACGTTAAGCCTTCCTTGCATATTTGGGCGCACATTTTTGCTGCACAGAGGCGGGTGCGTATCTCGGCTGCAACAAGGTCGTGGTCCGAGTCGATGTTTGGGCCTCGGAGTGTGCGTACGTCTAAAACACTGGAAGCGTGCCTTCCGTCTATCACCACATGATCGACTTGGTTTCTCGTTTTTCGATCCGGAGACAGCCACGTAGCTTGATGGATCTTTTTATGCTTGAACCTAGTACTGCATACTACCATGTTTCGGGCCCCGGCGAAGTCAGTCAGCCTCAATCCGTTGTCAGACGTTACGTCGTGGAGGCTGAATTTTCCGACGGTGGTTCCAAAGATCCCTTCCTTGCCCACCCTAGCATTGAAGTCGCCAAGCACGATTTTGATATCATGACGGGGGCAGCGCTCGTATGTGCGCTCCAAGCGCTCATAGAAGAGATCCTTGGAGGCCTCATCCTTCTCTTCCGTCGGGGCATGGGCGCAGATGAGCGAGATGTTGAAGAATCTCGCTTTGATGCGGATTGTGGCTAGACGCTCGTCCACCGGGGTGAACGACAGTACTCGGCGACGGAGTCTCTCTCCCACCACAAATCCAATACCGAATTTGCGCTCCTTTACATGGCAGCTGTAGTAGACGTCGCAAGGCCCCAGACATTGTTTGCCTTGCACCGTCCAACGCATTTCTTGGATGGCGGTGACGTCAGCTTTTGTCCTTACGAGGACATCAACCAGCCGGCCAGAGGCACCTTCCCCATTAAGGGTCCGGACATTCCAGGTGCATGCACTCAAATCGTAGTCTTTAAATGTTTGCCGTGGTCGTCATCATAAGGGGGGTCTCATCCGAGGCTTTGCCTTGCTTCTTCACTGGAAGTGGTTTTTACGTGGCGGGTCCCAAGCCCAGCGCACAACCCATTGCTGGGACGGGGGTGGTTTCGCAACCAAATACACGTTTATATAGCGAGCCGCTTGCTCCAAGCAGACACCCGCTTGCAGCCGCACCTACTGGTGAACAGACGCTGCAGACTTCAGTGAGCCCTTAAACCGAATAAGTCAGAGTGGCCCCACCGAAGCTCCCTCTCTTTCTGCCGTGACCCAAGGCTCTACTATGATTGGTTACCGCATCTCGCACATGGGTTGATCACGTTGCCCAGAGTGCGCGAACGAGGACGCAAGAGTCGGGATGGAGTATAGCCATGCAACTGTAACTGCATACCCAGCGCAACGACTATACCCCATTGCACTCCATTTCCAATCTCACATATACATTAAAGTGGTCCAAAAATGTATGTAAAAAAAATAAGGTCGGATTTTTAATTCCGGCACCCCCTGGGATTGTTCTATATACCCCTATTTTTTTATTTTGAAAAAATAAAAATAAAAATAGGGAGTGCTCGAAGCTCTCAAAGTTTTCCATGTATTTTATATGGGGGAAAAACAATTTTTCGTAGAAATAGTGTAGAATTCTTGAAAATCAACAGTTTTCGATCGGAAAACTTTTCTTATCTTCAGGAGATTCCCAGTAATAATACGCAATTGTCCCTTTAACCATTTTTTCATAGTAACTATATTTTATAGGTTCTCCAAAACCCTTAGAAAATGCAATGGAAAAATCTTTAATCATAAAAAATTGTTAAATAAACAATTGGATATTAATACTGGAAGTCTCCTGAAGAGAATCACAGTCTTCCGATTGAAAAATATTGATTTGAGGTGCTATCAAAATTTAAATTTTATAAAATAGACCAACTTCAAAAAATAAATGATGGCCGACGAATTGAGCAAGCGGTTTTACCTTTAAATATTTGTATCATGGGTGTATTAAACAAGGTGTTATTTACAACTCAGTGCGGCTCTCTTAAGATACTTTTATGTCATAAAATATAAACCAACTATTCAAAATTCATAAACATTTTTTTTTCAATTTGACTTTATAGGATGGTTCTTCTTAGAGCAATGTCAAATTCAATCACACTTTGTTAAATACATTTTGATCTTTACCAAATAATATACTTCCTCCGTAAATATTTTATTAAGTGTTCCAAAATTCGCTCCGAGCGCGTTCACTGTTGATCATTTGATTTAAATAGTTTGTTAAACAATTAAAACTATAGTTTGATCGGAGTTAATATATTCTTCAGTAATTAATTTTATTATATTAAAACATAAGCTTATGAGAAATTATTTAGTCTTAACATGCATATTTTATATCGTGTTCCAAAATTCGCTCCGGGCGCGGTCACTATTGATCTTTTGATTCAAATATTGTTTGTCAAGCATTCAGTAGTGAAGTTTGATCGGAGTTTATAAATTCTTCAGTAATTGATCATATTACATTGAAATATAAAGTAATTGATCACATTTTATTAAAATATAAACCTTTCATAGGGTAGAAATTGTGAAATTATTTAGCTTTAACATGTATAGTAGTCGGCCAGAGACAATTGCAGACAACTGCAACTACTCGTGAAAACTTACAATAAAAGCAATAAAGATCAAAGTAATAAATATTATCATTAAAATTATATCCATATATAAAACATGGGAATCTTATAAGGTAGCAAGGAACCTGGCTACCATGATTATTAATTATTATTATTATTTTACTAAAATTTTGCACATAACAGTTTTTTAATATTACCCTAATTATTCCTTAAAATAATCGAAATAGGTTAACATTAACATATAGCTCCAATACAACTGATTACTCAGATATGTGTTTTTGCGCAATAACTCTAACTTCATATCTGAATAATAAATTGTATGCGTGCTATATGTTAAATTGAACCTATACTAAATTTTAACCTGTTTAATTGAAGGAGTTATAACGCAAAACAACGTCTCAGATCAATCAGTTGTATCAAAAAAAAATGTAGTCAAAAACTATACGCGATAAACCGAAAATTTTGATAATTGTGAAATGTGGAATTACAGACTTTGAGTTACTTGCCATTTCGTTATTTTTTAATGCACACTTTTCTTACCTACAACATTTGAAGTGTACACATAAGTACTAATTGCACATACAATTTCAAATCAGTATATGGTGTGTTTCAAAAGTTATGGCATAATTAATTTTTCACCTCTTAAAAATTACATAAAAAATTCACTTGTTTTCATTATTATTTTTTATTTAAACACCTATAATTCAAAAGTTATGCGGCAAATTGATCCAAATTTTGTTTGAGGCTTCAAGTATACGTCAATGAATTATATCCAAAAGCAACCAGCTTGATATAGTTTCCAACAGTGAAAATAAAGCTAAAAAACACCAAGGTTACCTGTTTTTTAGATTTGCCCATATGCTGATGATATTCAGCTGTATTTGTCGAGTAGCTTTACTGATACAAGTGATTTGTGTTTTAAAATAAATAGCGACTTATCATGTTTGTTGCACTGGGCGGATAAAAATGGCCTCTGTCTCAATGTCAAAGTCGTACGTGTTGCCCATTGCGAAGAAAAATGTTTCGTGCTTTAAAATTCCTGCAATATGCATTGGGAACACTCCAATAAAGTCTGTGAGTAAAATCACTAATCTTGGCTTTGTAATTAACTCCAGCCTTACAGCCTTATACTAAGTTCTGACCAAAAGTTGATCTTGTAATTAACATACTTATCGTAATTATCTCGCCAATCCCCTTGAGATAGTCAAATTGTAGTCAAGAATTAATAAAATAAAATAAACGAAAGTTACTGGCGAACGGATGGACTCCAAACCAAAAAAAAAAAGGTACTTTGGAATGAGGCGGCGGAGGCTGCTCTGATTGAGTTGTGGCGCGAGAAGATGCCAGAGCTGCGGTCAGCTCGAAAGAATGGCCATATCTATGAGGAGATGGCCAGCGATCTGGGAAACATTGGCTTCGTATATACTGGAGCGGAAGTGAGAGTTAAGTTGCACAACTTCTCCAACAAATACAGGTACATAAGTAGCTACTAAATTAACTTTTATTTTCTTTCATTTATTTGTTAAATACTTATAGGCAAGAAAGGGCAAAAGTTGGTCCGTCAGGAGGCTCTCCATCTACCTGGAAACTGTATAATGCCGTCCATGAAGCCCTTGGATGCCAAAAGAGCTACTGCGCTGACGAGTTGACGGAGGATAGTATTATGGGTACGTAATAATAAATTCTATTTACTTTCGAGATCCTTTTTTATTGTTTTATATGTATATAATATTTTAGTTGATTTTGACTGCAACGAAGCCGAGTTTTACGAGTGTATCGAAATCGAGACGGATGGAGAGTCAACAACATGCCCACCGCTTCCCAGTCCTAGCTCATCAAATGTAGACTCCTCCAATAGGCCTTCCTCGAGCGAGCCTGCAAAAAACAAGAAGAAGACGGCAGTGTCAGTGATGGAGGATATGCGCACCGACTTCTTAATGGCAACTCAAGAAATGAAGCAAGCAGATGACAAACGGCTTGCCATTTTGCAACAGTATGCGGATAATGTGAGCGAAATGAAAGACGCGTTCGTAGAATTTCTTCGTCGTCAAAATAATAATTAAATATATTAACTTTGCAGAACTTAAAAGTTATCCGACGTGTAACATTTTTACATACAGCCAGAGTTAAAAGATGGTATGTATTTTGTTGTAATATAATACTTATTAGCAATTATTCTAGCGAAAAATTTTTTTCCTTAATTTTGTATGAAAATATATCGACTGCTGAGTGGAAGATCGCCCTATCTCGACAGCCAGTTCGAAAATGCTCTATCTCAAAAAACTTTTCAAGAACGCCCTATTTAAAAATTTTATTGAAAAACACACTATCTCAGAATTTGATTGAAGGTCGCCCTATTTCAGAATTCGACTCAAAAAATGCCCTATCTAACTTCAAGATGTATTGAAAATGTGCTGATATATGGCGTTTTTGAATCGGCAGCTGAGATAGAGCGTAAAATTCACAAATTTCCAAAAATGTTCATCAAATTTTCAAACTTTTTAAAGAAGCTTAGGAGAATTTACGAGTATGCAGTT